CCCCAAAACCCCAAAACCCCAAAACCCCAAAACCCCAAAACCCCAAAACCCCGTATAAAATATAAATCTAGGAATAGTAGGTAGTTAAAATATAACATATTTTTAATCACTAAAATGTCAGTAGTGGTTCCTCCTCAGACATGGGTATATATCCCAGATCAAACCGTATTGATTAATGTAGCACTGTCAACAGTTTTCTGGACAGTGCTGTATATAATTGCAACCTTCTTGCCAATCTCCCAGATTAAAGCTTTCAAGACTTCAGAAGGAAAACCTGTACAGATCAGCAAATGGGAGACTTTGGACACTCAGAACAGATACATTTCTTTGGTTCATGGTATTATGTGTATCATTTTGAGCTTCTATGATGTCACATACTTGAATCTTCCATGCGGATCTCCTAATCATCCAGTGCAGACTTTCCTAATCACAGTCAGCTGCGGGTACTTCCTCTATGACTTGTTGGCAATGATGTACTATGGGCTTCTTGATAGATCAATGCTGCTTCATCATGGAATCTGTATTCTCGGATACTACCTTGTTCTCTGCTTCGGTGCATCAGCCAGTGAGTTAATTGCAGGAGTCTACATTTCCGAAGTTTCTAATCCTTTCATGCATATGAGAATTATCTCAAGGAACTTTGGTTATAGACACACTAAATTTTATGAAGCATGTGAATACATCTATATCCTCCTCTATATTTACTACAGACTTCTCAAGGGAATTTTTGTCGTCTGGAATTGTGCTGCCTGTCAGAACGGAAACCATCCAATTATCAGACTTCTTTCAGTTCTGTTAGCAGTCCAATCATATTTCTTCGTTTACAAAATGGTATCAATTCTCAAAGGAAGATTCAGTGAGAAAGCAGAGAGAGACAAGGTTGGAGTCAGCCTCTTCTGGTTCAACCATAATAAAGATGTTGAGAAATTGTCGTATTACAAGAAGAGTGCTAAAAGAGACGGCATTCCATAACATGGTTTCTTCCCTAATAATTTCCAGCATTTAAAACCAATCTTACCATTAATGCCATACCTATTGGGAACTCTGATAAATATCTCTTTTGAATATTCAATTAGAATTGATTAGATAGGGGTTTTGGGGTTTTGGGGTTTTGGGGTTTTGGGG